AATATAGGATGCCCCTAACCCTAAAGTTAATCGAAAAAATTATTAAACATGAGTTGCCTCCGCTTTAGACGTCCCCCTAATTTGGAACATTGCATGGATTTGGGTAGATTATCCTACGCTACGCATTAGTAATTTTCATTGTATCAAGGTTTCGTTATATAAAACTTGCTACAGCGAGTTAATATTGCTGTCTCTTCGATATAATTAACCATTTTTTTTAACTTATTAAATGATAATTTGAGTAAACTACCAAATTTAAATACTATAGATCTGCATAATCTTCGAACGTTGTGTTCAATAAAAAGCAATTTAATTTATTTGCAAAAGATCAACAGAACCGAACTCAAATGTTACATGATTCAATAATGAAAAAAAAAAAAAAAAAGATTTACAGTAGGTCAAATATACAATTTTAACGAATGAAATTAACATTGTCCACCATATTTTTCTAGGAGGAAAAAAGAGTTAGTTTGAATTACAGTATAAATAAACTATGATATAAATAATTTACCATCATATAACTGCGAAGCTTGTTCTTCCGCATGTTTTTTTGCTTTTGCTTTATCAATAGCATCAAGACCTTTTGTTTCAATGAGTTTTTCTGCCTCACCAGCAGCAAATGCTACGAATGCCTACAATTATAAAATTAAAAAGAATATTAATAAACTAAAAAAATGCAAATAAATTCAATAAATCATGAAATGATATGCACCTCTTTAAGAAAAGCATGTTTGTCTTTTTGGCCGGTTTGTTCTTCTTTCTTTTTTTCGTAGTGCCTCATCGCTTCAAAAGCAGCAGCACCAGCAATTATTTCATGAGTAAGGTGTCCCTTATGTTTCTTGTCATTGTATACATCGTCATGATGTACACCGAATACGTCAAAAAGTCCTAAAAAGAAAAAGGCAAGAATTAATAAGTAACAAGATAACTGAAAAAAAAAAACAATTACTCACCCATGATTGAAGTTTTAATGAAGAATATTCGTGTAGTATATGAAAGTTTAAGAGCTTTGAGCAATTTTGAGCAATTCGCAGAAGCTTTTATAGGAATTTTTATCAGTTGTCGTCAGAATGACAGATATTAGATTTAATAAAACATGCAACATCTGGTAAGACGTGGTACACACAATAAGAAACAAGGAATCTGAAACTACATCTCGTAATGTTGACATTTTCTATCAAATTTCCCACGTCTTAGCTTGAAATCATTATGATTTCTATCTATGTAAGGTAAAAAAAAAAAATTATCTCCATTTAGCGACGCCCTACATTAGCGTTAGATGATGTCGTGCTCGCGAAAAATTTTAGATAACGATGTTGTGACACGTAATTGTAATGCTTGTCAATAACGAAAAAGTGTGTATTGTTTCAAAATTATACTAATATACTGGTTAAGGCTAGATGCGTACGCATAAGGCTTATGTATAATCCAAGCCTCGATGTAAGTGTCGTATGTAAACAAGAATATATACGTACGTACGTACTACGTACGTTCGTACGTATATATATACAGTATTTGTACAAGTAATACAAACTTAAAAGATTTTGATTTAAAAATAAATTACATTTTCGTCATTTTTAATTAATTCCATAAAGTATATAGCTTTGATTGACGAAATATTGGCAAATTACAACCTTATCCAATTATAATCTTAATAACGATAATTTTGATCAAATTGATTAACGTTAACTAAATAATTTTTTTTGATTAAATTTATTGTGTAAATAAAATTTTCTTATTTATTATACGTAGTACGTACAAAAATCGAGATTGTAAAGTTTGTACGTACGTATTAGTGTTTTGACCCGGGTGGGTTTCACCCGGGTCACCCGCGGGTGGGTCGGGTACCCGGGTTGGTCAACCACGGGTCACCCGAAGAGTCAACTGCGGGTCATCCGATGGGTCAACCTTCGGGTCACCTGACGGGTTAACCAACAGCCAACCGATAAACCTACACCAAGCTAGTACATACGTACATGTAAAATACATAAAATTCTTTTATTGTAATACTTACAACACACCAGTTACAGCTATTATCATAATCCCTGGGACATTTGTAAAAATTGGCCAAATGATTTTTCGGCCAATTCGGTTAAGTTTGTGATTTTGGAAATAATAGATTCAAGAGATATCAGATATATATGTAATTTAAAATCAGGAAACTAATTTAAATATTATACAATATTATATGACTACATATTCGATATGATTGAATACAGAATTATAATACTTTCTAAGCAACTTCGATAGCAAATAGACAAAATTTAGAAGGCTTATCAGTTCGAAAATTGCCAAAAACTTAGGTGTTAGCAAGTCTTCTATAAATTGGGTTCTTAGGCACTTTTAAAGATAATAAAAAACTTTTATTACTTTCAAGAAAACCATGTTCACTAAGCACAAACGATATACCATATTTATCCGACATGTATACCCCCCTATGAAATGTACCCTGCAGCATTTTGAAGGTCAATTTTTTGTTTATACCCGGGTATTGTATCCGTACAATATACCCCGTAGCAATTGAATACCAATTTTTGATTTATACCCGGGTACTACTTATAGATTGGTCAAAAAAAATTTTTTAAATTTTAATTTTTATAATTTAGCTAAATAAATTCAGATTTTAGATCTGCTAACCTGTGTGTTATGACATCGCTACGATTTTTTGGAATTGGGCCTAAATTATAGTGGCTTGCAAAAAAGTGATTTCATAATGATGATAGTTGAAAATTTCTGAGATTCTAAATTTCTACCATCAATTAGTAATGTCTATATTTATTCGAAATTTTGGAAGAATTAAAAAATCTGCTAAGATCGGCCAATTTTTACGATTTACAGATCACACTTTTTTGCAAACCACTATACTAATCATGTTTAATATATTGCATCAAAAATTTAGAGAAGTGTAAAAAGTTGAAGCAATGAATTTAACAAATTAATTAAACCAATTTCGAAATTTGAATTTATTTCTTAAATCTAGCCGCTTTATTATAGAATCAAATTTGATTATCGTAAGCTACAATATGCAGATGTAAAATTAGAAGAAAAAAAAAAACAAAAATCAAACTCTATCATTATTCCCAAACATTATCAACTTCGACTTCTTCATATTCATCTCCATCAATATTATCAAAAGTCAATACTTCTTTAGTATTTTCATTACTTGCATTCTCTTTATCCAACAATTTGTAATCAAAGACTAAATCATCTTCTGATCCATCCATTTCTACCAAGATACCACAGCATTTAAATGCACTTCGAATTAAACGAGGACTAATTTCATCCTAAGATTCTTTTACCCATAGAGCTAACATGGCATATGATAGCTTTTGGATATATCTAGCAGGCGTTAATTGATGAATTGAATTGACCATCTATTCATTGTAACGGCAACGCACCTTGATAAAGTTTAGGGTTATTAATGTGCTTAATTTAAAAAAAAAAAAAAAAGGTTTGTTTTAATATACCTGATGCTTGAAGCTTTTGTTGATCGCGACATCAAGGAGCTATAATTTACTAGTCATTCCACGTGAAATAACTGCAAGATCAGTGTTTTTTCATTAAACCGGCGCTTAACAGAGTCTACCAAGTGACCTCTAAAGGCATCCAAAACAAGAAGAGATCGTGGATTTCCTAATGGATTACGCTTGGTTCAAACATTATCAATCCAATCATGCATTACAAGCTCATTACACCATCCTTTTTCGTTTATTCTAATAATAACACCCGGAGGGAAGACTTCACGGGGAACATTTTTCAACTTAAAAATACATACAGGTAGAATTTTCATTCCATCTGCAAGACACTCGAGGATTACAGTAAAGCATACTTTTTCATGCCTGGTGGTTCTGATACTTACTGTCTTTGCTCTACATTTTTCAAGGGTTACTGGACTAGATATATCGAATGCCAAAGATGTTTCATCCATGTTACCAATATATCTAACAGGGTAGTCATACTGATTACGTTTGAACAAAATCAAACTAAGGAATTCACTTTGTTTTTCAGCCAGGGCCGCCAGAAGGTGTTGTGTAACAGTTGTACATCTACGGTTTGAAAGATCATTACGATATAAGAACTGACTCAACCAGGAAATAGAAAATTTAAAGCTAGCGATATTAGGGTAAGCATTCTTAATTTCATCAGTCTAGGCCAAAGCCTTAGCCTTCCTAACTACCATATTTCTAGTAACAGCATGTTGTATATTACGATGCTCTTTGATCCAATCTATTAAGTTTTCTTCTAACAGAGGGTACTGTGTTTGCCGACTACGATTAAGTGTTAAAGCGTACGGTGCTGCATTCAGAAGTTCTTGCTTTTTGTTACGCCACTCATAGACTTGTTTCAGTTCGATTTCAAAGCATTTCACAGTTGCTCTCACACTATTAATATGCTCCAAGTAGAAGATAACTATAAGTTTTTCTTTAACACTTCACGAACGATGACTTTTATTAGTAACACAGGCACGTCTCACAATATTTTTTCTTGAAGGCATCCTTGTTTTAAAAAGGTTTGAAAGTTTTTGTTCTATGTATTGTTCTTTGAATTATGTATATTATAAAACAATTCTTGGTTCAGAAAAATCTATTTATCTACCTTATATACACATGTGAAAAAAAAAATTATAAAAAAAAAATCAAGCATATGTGGAAAAAAAAACTTGGGTATATGTAAAAAAAAAAAGTTTGAGCACATGTAAAAAAAAAAAACAAACGAAAAAAAATTAAGGCCCACTCGTCCTTATGAATGTTAAAGGAGTTAGAAGATATCTCAAAAGGTAAAAGTTTAGCAGCACATATGTTTCTATTCACGAAGAAATCTTAATTTTGTTTCGGGAACGCATGTAAAGAAAAAAATTTTAAATACATGTGAATAAAAAAAAATTGAACATATATAAAGAAAAAAAAAATTTTGAACGCACAAAAAAAAAATCTGGAGACACCTTACTTTAAAAGTAAAGTTTAGCAGCACGTGTATTGTAGAATTCAGGCCAAAAAAGCCCACCCATCTACCCTTATACGAACAATATTTTAAAAAGTTCGTGAATGCATTTTGATTGTATCTAGGGGCACTCGTGTGAAGAAAAAAGACCTATAATTCTTATATGAAGTCAGGAGGTGTCTTTCTTGAAAAAGAGTTCAGTGGCACGTGTATTATAGAAAATTCAGATCCAAAAAGCCCAAATATTCACCCTTATACTGTACGAATAAAAAAGGTGCATAAAAAATATTGAGTAATTTATGTTTAAAAGTACACAGTTTATATAAAAAAACCCCTTAACGGTGTGTTTAGGGGTATACGTGTTGCAAAAAAAAAAAATCAGGCCCACGAGGCCTACGAGGCCCACCCTTATATGAACAGTTAAAGGAAAACGTTGACAAGCATCTTACTTGAAGAGGTATAATACTCAATTCTGAGTACTACCTCAATACTCCTTGGGCGAGTGTTATTTTATTCAAGATCTTAAATCTTGATTGAACATCTATTGATTACATTTTGACCAATCAGCGATGGTGTTTATCAACACCCAATCGGAATATAGATAAAATACCAACATATGTACCCCTTTTATACAATATACCCTCTAATCCAAGTACCCCGGGTACTAAAACGAGCTAGAGAAATACCCCGGGTATATATGTCAGATAAATACGGTAAATATCTTAAAATCTTTAATAATAAAAAACCTGAACAATTATTCGATTTTATTCGATTTTAATTTAACAAAAATTTTTCAATTAATTAGTTGTTAACTAAGCCAACTAATCGATTTTTCGATTCGATTTGTATCACTAGTTAATCAAAAATCTTTAAATTATTTGTATGAAATTTAAAAAATTATAATTTGTTAATCTTATATTAAAATACTACTCAAGCCTGAATCAAAATTTAACTAGCAATTACATATCTGACTTTAGTGGTGACACTAGGTAAACTCAACTGATTAAGCTAACAGATCACTTTTCTAATTTTTAAATTTATTAGAGAACAAATTAATAATTTTCTTGATGACTAGTACAAAAGTAAAAAAAATGAAAAAAATGAAGTAAATTGTCCACATTATAAACATAACAAAGAAATTCAAAGAATCAATAGTCAAGAGGGGTTCAAAGTAAGTGTTAAAAAGCTTTTGGGTTTATTGTTTAATTATTTGATGCCATCCAGAAAGAT